TCTCTGTGTTCGCCCCCGTATCTCTCTGCGTTCCCACATAGCTGAGCCCTGCACCAGATACTCAGAATGCACCACGTATCACTCAGCTAACGGAGCCACAAACAAAACCAGGGAACAGGCCGAGCATCCTGCCCAGGCACACACACGTGCCACCGGAAGCCCTGGTGCAGAACGCAGACCCCCGATTCCTGCCTGCACTCACTGCTCTGCCTTCTCGAACGCCCACAGTCCCCACTGTCTCCTTTACTCTCGACCCTGCAACACCCTCAGCAGCGCTTGGAATTAAGTGTGGGCCGCTCCAGCCCCGAGGACAGATTATCCTCGCGTACACTTCACAGGCGAGAAGACTGAGGCTGCAGAGGGGAGATTCCTATATTTGTAACTTTGGATCTAACCGTCCGCCTCACACCATTCCCTGAGAGAGAGAGAGACAGAGCAAGGTCTGTGCCCCTCATCGTGGACCCTCACACTCAGACAATGTGACCTGGCCTGAGGGAACTGACCTGATATTCCTCCTGGGTAAGGCCCTCGGCCAGGGCGTGCTGGCGCAGCTGGTCAGGGTCCTGGGCCCGGAAGAGGCGGCTGAGCAGGGCATAGATGTAGGGGGCCTCGGGGGAGGTCTGCAGCAGCACAGCCAGGCCCCCGTACCAGGCGGCCCGTGACAAGTGGTGGGCATAGATGCGCTCTGTGGGCGACAGCAGGCGGAAGGCCTCACGGCAGTCCAAGCTAAACACGCCGATGTCATTGGGCAGGATGTACTGGGTGTCCGCCATGGGCCCTGCTGAGAACCAGCCCCGTCACCACAGGCCCCCACAGCACACCTGGCTGTGCACGCCCACCATCTCGTCCACCCCTCCCAAAAGCCCAGTGCGGAAGGGAATACAATTGCGCCCATTCGCCAGATATGCTAACTGAGGCCTAGAGAAGGTCAAGTGACTTGCCCAAGGACATTAAAGATGGACACCGAGGCCCAGAGAGCTAGGAGCCTTGCCTCACCTCGCAGTGGGCAGAGACAGTAGCAGAGACCTGAATCTGGGGACTCCCAGCCCAGGCCCTGGGCTTCTCTGACCCCTGGCCTCCTTGTCCAGAATTCTCCAAAAGTTTCTCCTCCGATACTCCTTCCCTCCACACAGGGTGTTCACAAGGACAGAGTCCCAGACTGCCAGTTGGAAGACTAAGTTTCCAGGCCTGGCTCAGCCTCAGATTCCTAACAGTCAAGCCAATGGCTTCCCTTCTCTGCACCTGTTTCCTCCTCTGTGAAACGGGGATGATAATAACCCCATCACACCAGCTGGGGGAACAAACCAGATGGGGCCAAAAGTACCCAGCTCTGAGGCCTCCTGCCCTCTCCCTGCTTTCGGCCAGGGGAGCTAGAGAGCTACAGAGGTTCAAGGCTGGAAGAAAGCCCATTTTACAGGTAGACAGAAAGAGGCTGAGAGGGCAAGTCATTTACCGAGGGGGCCTGGGGTTTCCTAACCCAGGGGACCCTCCCCACTTTTTATCTCCCTGGCTGGGATGGAGTTTCAAGCTTCCCCCCACACCTTGGGTTCCGCCCCAATAGCACAATCCGCGGGGTTCTGACGGGGCGTTAACCCTTTGCTGCCCGGAGTCCTTCTTAGCCTCGGGGCCGCGACAGCTTTGGAAGGCGTCGTCCTGGGGACGGCAGAAAGGAAACAGCCTTGCGCTCGGTGCAGGCTCGGCCCCTGTCCTCCGGGGACGACACTCTGACCCTGAAACCCGGGCGCCGTGCCTCACCTGCAGCAGCTGCTCAGTTCGCAAACTCACTTCCTGCTTCCGGCTCCCCCATTCATTGGGGCTCTGAGAAGCCCGTCCCCACTGACCAATGACAGGGCCTCGGGGCCCCGATGGGCGTATGCTCCAGCCAATAGGCGCGCCGGCTCCCCGCCCCTTGACGCTGCCAGGTCGCGCGCGGATTGGCCTTTGTCCGCAGGCCGCGTGGGGCCGAAGCCTTCCTCGGGCCGCGCGGCCTGGTCGGGGCAGACTAGGGTAGCTGGTTCCCCCCAGCCCGGGAGTGGCCCGTGGGGGCGTCAGGGACGGAGCACCCGGGACCTCCCCACACATAGTCCCGACCCCTCTCTCCTTGGGATTATCCTGTACCGGTAGAATCCCCTGAGCTCAGTTTTGCAAGCTGCATAATGGAAATAACGTGTTATCCCCTCCTCACCGTGTTCCGGGAACTGGGGTGCAGACTTTGGAGGCCGCAGGGCGCGCTGCATGCAGGGAACGGAGCCTATAGGCGAGGGAGGGAGCTCTAGGCCGGGCTGAGATGGTCCTGCCCTGAAGGGCGCAGTGGAAGGTCCCTAAATCCATGGGCCTGGGGGGTGGCCGCTGACCTTGTTTCTTCAGGATAAAGGGACGAGAGAAGGAGGGCCCCGGAGTGCTTGCCAGGCGCCTGCAATCTCTGTCGGCTGCAGATGTCTAAGGCAGTGTCCGGTTACTCAATAAGTTATCACGGCTACTGTACAGATTGAGAAATAAGCTGAAGTAAATCCGTGGTTACCTTACCTTACTTTTTGGGTTTCACGGCACATTAGTAAGTAAGCAAATACAAGTAAAACCGTGCTTGCTAATTGAGTATCCTGCCCCTGTTCTGAGAGGACAGCCGCTGTGGGGAGCATGGAGATGGCCCCCAGTCACAGGGGGCCAAGCCCTGCCTCCTGAGGTGCAACGCTTCACCTCCTGAGTTCTCATTCAGCAGGAAGAGCGCGTTAATAATCCTATCCACTCGCAGAGGTGTCTTAGGCGGCAGTCAGGTTTTGACTGGCCAGTGCTCCCCCTTCAGTTGTGCAAAGGCAGGGTAGTGGGGTCTGAAATCCAGTGCACTATCCCGTCAGCCTTCGCCACCCTGTCTTCTTGGCCAAGGACAGAGACTGCCCCCAAGAGAAACCAGTTTCTCCTCTAGGAAGATGCCCGTGAGCTAGGCACATACTTGGCACATTAGTGCTACTAACTAACGAAGATTATCATTATAGGGGGAGATCAATAAATGGGGCTGCGTTCTTAGGGAAGTGACCTCTCTTTCTGTGTCTCCATTTCATCCTCTTTAAAATGGGTCTAAAGTCTCTCACTTCGGGGAAAGTTGAAAGGTGCAGGGATAGTGCAGGTAGTGCTATCCGCTGCCACCAGGGGGTAGCCCAAGCAGGCAAAACATTTTTAAGCACCCTGAGAATTGCATTACCACCCGCTCAGGTTAAATGGGTGTTTAAACTCATTTAATCCTTGCAGCAACCCTGAGCAGGGAAAACTGAGCCAAAGAAAGGTTCGTGGGCTTCCCTAAGGTCACAGAGCATGTCCTGAGGTATCCATGAAATGTCCTAGCCCCACCGAGGCCTTATACCACACTGTCCTTCCTTCTACCTTGAACACACACACATTATCACACGGAGTGGTCCACTCTTAGGGGTTATGGCCTGCCCCAGCCTCCGCTCTTCCCCATGGGGATAGAGAAGGGGCGGGTGGGCAGGTAACTTTATTCCCATTGCCACGAGTATATTCCAATTCACGACAGGACAGAGTAGAACTGGCTCACAGGGTGTCCAAGGCTGTGAAAGAAGCAGGCCACCTCATCTTTCGCCCAAGGAGCAGCTGGTGGGTTCGAACCACTGACCTTCTGGTTCATAGCCAAATGCTTTAACCGCTGTACCACCAGAGCTCCTGAAGTAAATGCAAATATGTGGATCCTGGCACATATATTCATTAAAGACACAAATAAGGATACTCCTCAACCAAACACCTTTCAACATGAATATTCTAAGCTTTCGGTAAGCAGCCGAATGCTTAATCACTGCGCCATCAGGGCATCTCATAACTTTATTAAATACCTACTACGTTATGGGTAAGGAAACTCGGTGGGAAAATGGTTTAAGTGTTCAGCTGCTGACCGAAAGGTGAGTGGATCAAACCTACTCCTTGGCACCACGGAAGAAAAGATGTGGCAACCTGTTCCCGTAAACATTACAGCCTAGCAAACCTCACGGGGCGATCCTACTCTGTCCTGTAGGGTTCCTATCCGTCAGACGCAACGGGTTTAGTGGTTTTTTTTTTTGTTTTTTTTTTTTAATTTTAATGGAAGCAGTTCTCCAGGCCTTTCTTACATGAAATCACTGGGCAGGTTCAAACGGCCGACCTTTAGGTTAGGAGCCAATAGCGAACGGCTTGCGCCGACCAGGTTCCGAGGCTGGGATCGGAATTCCCATTAAGCAGTTGAAGAAGCAAAAACTCTGAGGTGGCGGGCTGCAGAGCCTCCACCAGCATCCCAGTGCTGGCTCCCTGCAGTGAGCTCTCGCTTCAGGCCCTGGCTTTTCCTGTCTCTCCTCCCAGAGTCTGAGGTTTCCACTGGAAACGGGGTTGGGGCGTTCCTGCCTGGTTCCCAGAGAGAGAACAGCTGGGGAGAGTCGATTTCCTCATGTTTTGTGTTTGGATGTCTGTTGTGGAAAACACCCCCCCCCCCCCCCCCCCCCCAGCCGAGCTCCCTAGCAGTGGCCACTGTGGTGTTCTAGAAGCAGGAATATGACCATAGTCACCCCCTTCTCACTACAGGCTGGTTCCTCTCTCCTCCCAACAGCCCAGGTCTGGTGTCTCTGCCCCCACCCAGCTGTGTGGCCTTGGGCAGCTTCCTCCCTGCAGGGGGGCCTCACACTCCAAAGGCAGCTGTCTTCCCCTGGGGACCTCGGGGTCAGGCTTCTGCTCAGATTTCCTTCCCTCTAGAATTCCACCTACCTGTCCTCTTGGCTGGCTCCCCCAGGAATGGTCCAGGGCCGAGCCCTGCAACACCCCGGCTCACAAAGGGAAATGACAGCCAGAATGAATGGAAGTCCAGCCAGAGCCCAGCCCCTCTGCACCCAGCTCATGTGCTCCCCAGCGTTTTCCTGCTCCACCTCTCCACACTGTGCCCCTCACCCAGGCTACCCTCTCAGCTCCTCTGATTCTGGAAACACTCTGGCCCCAGCTCCTCCCTGGGCCTGCTCTTGAGCCCCCAGTCCTCACTCCTCAGAGCACTCCCCCCAGGCTGTCAGCCCACTGCATCTGGCCTGAGGGGCAGGTGGCCAGCACGGGGGCAGTGCTATCCCGCGCACCTGACACAGGGCTGGGCGCTGAGCAATGCTGTCCACAAAGCCATCCTCCAGTCCCCTGCCAGAACAGTCTCTAACCCCTGCTCCATGCACCCCACCCTGTCCAAAGAAAACAGGCTCTGAGGCCGATCAGGCAGCCAAGGGTTCAAATCCTGCCTTGGCCACTCTAGCCCTGTGACTCGGAGCAGATGCCATAAGCGCCTTGTGGACAGAAATGGTAACACGTTCCTCCCCAAGTTACCAGGAGGATTAAGGAGCAAAGTCCCAGAGAGGCAGAGCCCATGCCCAGCGAGTGCTCAACATCCCTGTTATTATCCTCAGCACAGTGCGGGGCACATGGTGGGCATTCGATAATGGTAGCCCTTGTGTTACAGCCAACGCTCTGAAAACGCACGTCTTCCCTCCTCCCTCTGTCCACAAAACGAGGTTCAGAAATCTCCGTCCAGCATCTTTCCCCACAGCGGCCAGCCTCTGCCTCCAGCCGCCTCTGCCCACCTGCAGCCCAGCCTCCAGTCACCCGAGTCTCTCCCACGCAATTCCCTGTTCTCACACCTGAGCCTCTGACGGCTCTTCCTTCTGCCCAGAGAGCCCTCCCAACCTTGGGGCCTGGAGGAGCTTGACTCAGCCATGGAGGCTGGGCCCCTCCTTCCTCTCCCCAGCCCAGCCAGTAGGCCCTGCTCCATGACCCCCCCACACTTCTGGTTCTAGCCCAGAGGAAGCCATATTGGCATCTGGTAACTTGGTCTGCCCGCCATTGGGCTGTAGACTCCACCAGGCGGGGAACCGGGTCTCATTGTCTGTGACCCCAGCGTTCGCTGGGCCAATGCCGGTCCTGGAGGTGTTGCACGCATGCGGGACTCACAGGACCTGTGTAGGCAGCTGAGCAGGGAGGTTTACAGGGGAACCCAGGGCAGCAGGATGGGTGAGTGTCTGGAACCGGGTGGGCAGGCTCAGGGCATGGCCATCCTGAGCTGGGGTCAGGGGCCTCTGGGCCCCTTCACTCCCCCAGGGGCACAGTGTAGGCGGTATGGGGGGGGTGCCTCCATCAGTCCGGGACAAAGCTGGTGCTGAGCCCCACCTGACTGAGTGGGGTAGGGATCTTGGGGACCGTTGAGGGGGGAGGGGCATAGCTCATCCAACGCGTCCATCTTGGCCTTGCCAGCAGGTCGGGTCCCACATGCACAGAGCTCTTCTGGGCTTCAGGAAGTGGGTGCCCTGGGGGGCAGCAGACGCAGCAGCAGGAGGCCGCAGGGAGCCTAGTCCAGAGGCCCCTGGAAAATGAGGCGCACACAGCCATGCTCCCCGGTGAGCCAGGCCCCACAGAAGGGGCAGGCGGCGTGGAAAGCGTGGGTGCCGTGGGGCAGTGGCGTCTGGGCCCAGTAGCGGGCAGTCTTCTCCGAGCAGACGTGGCCGCAGGGCGCGAAGGCGTGGCTGGGCGGCCCGGGGTCCAGGCAGAGGCCGGCCTCCTGGCCGAGCCACAGCGGCACGTAGGGCCCCACGAGGCGGCAGAGCGGACACTCGCGCTCCTGCGGGCCCCGCCCCCGGCGGCAGCCCCAGCCGTGGTAGCCGTGGACGTGGCCGCAGCGCACGTAGACCCAGGGCTGCTGCTTGTCGGGGGCCGTGCGGCCCCGAGCCGGGCTGGGGAAAGCCAGGGTGCTGAGGCCCACGGGGCACTGGGGCCGCGCGGCG